CCCGCCATAATCTGCATTTTCGCCTCCAGGGTGCCCAACATCTGCACACGTCCAGACCACTGGTTCCTGTCTCAGTTTGCACCTGTCGCTTCAGTGCTATGTACACAAGTCCAAACTGTGAGCCAGGAACAAACCTCGCCCTGTAGCGCACGCCAGAGAGAAGTATCTAAACAACACCCAACTCTCACGTGCGTGTCAGGAAGTAACGCCCGACTTCAGTCAGTTTCCAATGGGAATAGTCCTACTATTGTAATGCAATATTGAGAATCCGAAATGCAAAAATTGAAGATATTCATTTTCATTTCTACCACGCTGTCCCCCCCCCAAAATCTGGGATATTCATTTCGAAGAGAAGAAAACCTCATTGACTTGTTATTCAGTCCATCTGGGGAAAAGTCGCAAAAGGAAATAACATCTGTTATACAAAGAACAGATGCTGTGTCTTCAGAACTCCCATCTCCACGAAATAAGCCCCGTGGACACGAGATTCTTTCTGTCATTTCCGTTTGCAAACGGCCACAGTCCGTTCTGGGTAGAAAAGGGGGACAGAGGGAAGGCATGATATCTCGTTCACCTCAGAAGACGCACCCCACAGCCGGCCAGCGTCCACAGTGATCAGGGCCTTGGAGGGGGCGTTGGGACCTCTCATGGCACGTCACTGCACGTCACACAAGCACGAAACCCAGGGCTGGTGTGACGGATGGGGGATAGGCAAGGAGAGGGCTGCAGACAGGAATGTCCGCGGGGCAGGGGAGGCACGAGGGGTTATCCGGACAGAGGCCAGGGACGGCGTTCCAGGCAGTTAACAACCTGGAAGGCGCGGGCACAGAGCCCTAAGAACAGGTGCTGCACACAGACGCCAGGTATCGTCCCACGTTGTCCCGGGGCAGGAGAGGCTGCAGGGACGGGAGGTCGTGTGCCCAGTACCAATAAAGCCGCTGCTTCCTCACACAAGATAACTCCTGCTCTGTCGAAGAGTGTGCCCGGAATTGCCAGGTATCCCACTCTTTAAAGAGAAGCCAGACATCCTGGGTTTTTCATTTGAAATCTCCCAAATTTTTAATGTTAGCAATTTTTAAAAAATTAAAACAGTGTGCAGCGCTACAAGATGTGACAGAGGACTGAATTCGGCGGGTAGGTTCCCTTTTACGACCTAAAGAGTAAACTATCGTCCTAACGGTTTCATCGGAACAAGAAAATCTCACTCTTTTGTGAAAAAGACACCTTGTAGCTCTTTTCCCGTCAAGACGGTGACACGAGACCCTCCGGCTATGCAATCACCTCGGTTGTCACCAGATAAACTCTCATAAAGAATAAATGTCTACTCAAACAGGACGGCCAGCCCAGCAATAAGGTGGCTCGTTCGTGGACTCCAAAATATCCCCAGGCCTCAAAAAATTGAGCGGGAGTGGAACAGCAGAGAGAGCTCAGAAGGCACAGAGGTGCCGGGCGCGGTGGCTCACACCTGTAATCCTAGCTCTCTGGGAGGCCGAGGCGGAAGGATTGTTTGAGCGCAGGAGTTCGAAACCAGCCTGAGCAAGAGCAAGACCCCGTCTCTACTAAAAATAGAAAGAAATTAATTGGACAACTAAAAATATATAGAAAAAACTAGCCGGGCATGGTGGCACATGCCTGTAGTCCCAGCTACTCAGGAGGCTGAGGCAGGAGGACTGCTTGAGCCCAGGAGTTTGAGGTTGCTGTGAGCTAGGATGACGCCACGGCACTCTAGCCCGGGCAACATAGTGAGACTCTGTCTCAAAAAAAAAAAAAGGCCCAGAGGGAGGGAGGGTTTCAGCTGCAACACAATTATAAACCAGGTCTTCAGGACTGATTTATCACCCATATGTAAAGGCCCATCGATTCGGTTTCGGGGGTGTGTGTGTGTGTGAGAGAGAGAAGAGTATTAATAATCGAAAAAAGTTAATTTTGTCTTTTCAGTTTTTCTTCCAGATTTCCCTATTCTTATCCCTTCCACGTTACTTATTCCTTGTGTCGGTCAAGGGAAACCACATCCCTTGGTTTCATTTAGGGAAATACATCTTCTGTGTCCATCGACTTGATTCGACCGAAATCTAGACACACAAAGCTCACTTTCCCCACCAGACTTTGCCTGCTGTTCCCACTGCCTACAATGCTGTTCCCTGCGCTTTGCACGGCTGACCCTATAATTCAGGCCTCAGCTCTCATGACCCTCCCCTCGGACCACCCTCTCCTCACACCACCATCCACCCTCTCTGCCACGTCCTCATGTCAGTTTTTCGCGGCGTCTACTGTTACTTGGATTTCTTTGTCAGCGTGTCTGCCTGTGGTCTGCCTCCTGTGCCGGACTCTTCCTCGACTGCTCCATCTGCCCCATCCCCCTCGTGTCTGAAACCAGGCCTGGGGTGGGTGCGAGTGTGTCGGAAATTCAGATTTTTGCATTTTAAGTCTCCTAAATTTTTAATCTTAGTAATTTAAAAAATAACTATACAGATGAAATGCAAAAATGAGCAAACGAATACACACAGACTGTAATTATATATATAATTCTGGTACCCCAGAGAATCTCTATTTGCCAAATTCCCATTTGTTCCATGGGTATAAGCATTGTTTTAAAAAATCCCATCATAAACATATTTTTCCCACTGGGAATATGAAGAATGAAGTTTCTGCCATGACCCGGGGGTTGTGACGGTCCTCTATAAACTATGCAACGTCATGTAAACATGAAGAACGATAATCACTATAATTATCCGTCTTGGCCTCCCAGGTCCCTAAATAGGGGCGGTGAAGGAGCTGCCCGCCCTCCTGGGAACGGACTGGAACCAGCCGCACCACGAACCCCAGGACCAGGAAACTTCTGGATAATGACACGGTTTGGTTTTTTCTTTTTTTACATTCCCTTTTCCTCGTTATAAGTGTTATCTATAAAATGGCTTGTTTATAAACTTTAAAACACACGGCCTGCAGCGTCTCGGCCAACGCCATTTATGGATTTAGATTAATCAACCATCACAGCTTCCTGGGGCGCAGAGGCAGACGCCCGGCCGCCGGGCCGTGGAGACAGCCTCAGCTGCGGGTGGGTCCGGACTCGGGGAGACCTGCTGTCCCCTCTGGGAGCCTCACCTTCCTGTCCCGGTTTCCCTGTGAAGTGGGCACGTGGGCTAACGCGTCTCTCCAACTGCAACCTTCTGCCGTGCCTCTAAAACGACAACCTGCACCAACGCAGATAGCGCACAAGCTCAAAACCATTCCAAGCGGTTTCGCAATTACTTCCAAAACTGAGCGCCCATCTCCAACGCGTGGTGGAGCTCAGATCTGGCAAAGAGAAACCAGATGGTGCCGGAGCCAGAGTGGGCCCGGGAGCCGAACCGCGCAGGCGGCCGTCCTGCCTTTGCTTCCGTTCGCCAGACGACAGGGCATCTTCGCTGGCGGCCTGGACGAGCCACACGTCCTCCCTGAGCACCTGCCGGCCGCAGGGCCCAGTGCTGGCGCCAGAACGAGAAAACGGGGAAAGCCCACAGTTCTGGTAAAACCTTGTACGAAGTCTGGTGCGGTTGTGGCGGGAAACGGGCTCCGAGACGAGGGATCCTGCCCTGTGCCGGGGCCCCTCCGCCAGGCCCACCTGGAACCTGCCGCACCTGCGTTCCCGCGCTTGCCACTCGGCTGTTACTTTCCGATAATCTCCGTGCGTCTGTCCCCCCGACTCCCTTCGCATCTCGAGTTCCCTGAGTCGGTGCCGTCCGTGCCTCTGAGACCGTAAGCAAGTCACTTAACGTCCCTGGAAGACACACGTCTTCGTCTGCGGTGGCGACGCCGCTCCTGGGCTGGCTTGAAGACCACGCGGAGTGGCCGCGAGAGGACCGGGGCACTGACATCTTGGCGCTTGTTAGCGCTCCCAGAGCGAGACGCTGGGATTGTGCGGGGTTCCCTGGCTGGAGGGTCCGCGGGTCCCAGTCCCCGCAGGCTCCTGCGTGTCTGGGGCATCCACCTCATCAGTGAGTGCGCAGCTGTCAGGCTTCCCCCTGAGGCTCCCCAGGCACTGCGGCCTCGGGGTCGCGAACAGGAGTGTGACAGGCTTGGGGGGCCAGGCTGGAGCCCCCAGAGGCCGCGGAGGGGCCGTGGGAAGAGGAGACAGGACTGGGCAGGCGACGCGAGGGGAACCCGAGAGAAGAAAAGCAGAGCCCAGGGCAGGGGCGGGACGGAGGACGCTCGGTGCTCGGCACACAGGAGCCCTGGTCACTGCTCCGCGGCAGGAAGTGGGGAGGAAAAGAAGGAAATAAAAGGGAAAAAAGAAAAAGAGAAAAAGACAAACCCACAAAGCTGAAAGCAGGGGGCGGGCGAGGAGGGGTCGGGAGAGAGGGGCGTCTGGGGTCCGGGCAGTCGGGGGCCCCGGGTTTCCAGGCCCAGAGCGCAGGAAGCGCCGCCGCCCCTGCGCCCCAACCCCGGCTCCGGCGTGACGGCGTCTTTCCAGCGACATTTCTGTTATCGTCAGATCGCCACGTGGCTAGTTGATCGAGAAACACGGATTTCTACCCCAAATCAGGACGCGGTGGAGCGAGTTTCTGTGTGTGACAAAGACTGAGCGGAAACGGCTGCTCGACGTCAGGGCCAAGAAGGTGAGTGCGTCCGATTAAAGAGAAATCTGCGTGCGGTAGAAGGGTTAACAAATCTTAAAAAATAAATTTTAAGAAAAGAATGTGAGTGCATATGCTTGGACGTATGTGGGCATGTGTGCACATGTGTGCATGCATGTGGATGCGTGCAGACACATGTGCATGTGTGTGCGTGTGTGAGGGCGTGTGGTGCATGGGGGTATGTGTGGAGGCATGTGGGTGTACATGTGGTTGTGTGTGCATGCATGTGAACACGTGGGCGTTGAGGGTGTGTGTGGACATGTGTGCATGCGTGTGGATGCGTGTGGACAGGCGTGGACACCGAATCACAAGGCAGCTGTCTGGGCAGTGCCCGCACGGCTCCCTTCCCAACGCTGCCCGTCAGTGAGCACCGTGGCTGGGCCTCGGGGGCTGCTGGGGGTGCACTATGGGGTGCGCAGCTCTGCCTGACCCCCGACGCCACCTCCCTGTCCTCCCGGTTTCGTCCTCTGCTAGAAGCCAGCGGAGCGGTGCACACCCGCTCCTGGACAGGTGCTGGCCACGGAAACCCTTCCCTTTCTTGCGGCGGCTTGGTCGGGGAAAGGGGAATGCGTGGAAATCCACGGCTTCCACGCCTGCTACGCAGGGGGCTTGAGAAGCTCCCCCAAAATGTGGGTGAAGGAGGGATGGCAGCATCCTGAGCCCCGTCGCTGGCAGGCTGAGGATGGCGCGGCCCCGCATCACGGCCAGAAAGGAGACCCCGCCAGGTTCCCGGGGCTCTGACCGGAGGGCTCTCTGGGGCCGGGCGTCGGGCTGGGACCGGGCCCTGGGTGCAGCCTGAGCCCCAGTTCTGGCTGGTGGTTAGAGGCTGGTCCCCGTCGTGGGTGGCGCGGCCACTGTGGGAACTGAGCACATCCCCGGCAGGCCAGCACCTGGCCCCCCAGCAAAGGCTCAGACGTTAGCGGTGGGGGGGCCTCCCCACCCCAACTTCCAGCAGCAAGTGACTCCCACTGCGCACGGGACGCCTTCCCCTCTCCCCGCCTGCTCCTGACCCCCGGGGACGGGAACGTGCCCCCGCACACCTGCCGGTGGAGGGTGGTGCCTCCTGCCCAACCAGAGAGCAGCCTCCTCCCGATGCTTCCAGACTGAGCGCCGCAGTGGCGAAAGGAAGGCGGCCCGGCCGCGTGGGGACCGGGTTTGCTCTGCGTCTGGCACCGGAGGAGGAAAGCCCCGGTGGGCAGCCACCGACAGCCTCGTGGGGGCCGAAGCTCCCAGTCAGTGCGAGTGAGTTCTCGCGGAAGACACAGGACGCGAGTTGACAGGGACAGAAAGCGTTCGGCCCCGAGGAGGCTGAATTCCCCTAATCACAGGTTTCATATGACCCAGAGCCAGACTCCTCTCCCCACGCTGCCGTTCCATCCCAGCTCAGACATCGGGAGGACAAAGCGCCCGGCCGGGCAGAGAGGTGGGGGACCGAAGACCCCAACAAGGGCCCTTTGATGGCAGCCTCAGCAGTAAACAAATAAACCGTTCCCAGGACACCCGCTGGGCAAGAAGAAAACGTGGTGAGAACAAGGAGGAAACGCCCTTACCTGGGTGGTCCTGCGATCGGGAGTGGGCTCCGAGCACCTGCGCACAAAGACCGCATCGTGAGACACTCGGGGACATCCTCCCGGCAGAAGTCCACCCGGTGTCCACAGGAGCCACCTGGGGACATTACCTGAAAGTCGCGGTCAAACAACAGCAGCCACGAGCACCAGCAGCAGAGGGGCAGCAGCTTCCCCATGGTGTCCCCGGAGGGCAGAGCGTGGTCCAGGCGCAATTCCCGAGGGGCTGGGAGGAAGCGACCTCTTCACCTTCCACCTCCCCGGGACAGGGGCATCTTCACGGGTTCCGGGGAGGAAAAGGTTTTGTCTCCTTCAAGTTTGTGAAACGCGGCTGTCTCGGGGGCTTAGTGGGTGTTTCTTCCTTGTCGCAGAGCTCGAGCTTCTTGGGTGATCCGTAGGCTCATTGCGATGACCAGACCCGCCGTGGAATGCAGGGAGGGACGCGCGTCCAAGTCGCGGCGCCCGGAGAGCGATCCGGAACCGCCACCGCGTGCGAGGCGGGACTGTGTGTGTCCTTCGGGGCTTTCTTTGTATTCCAAGAGCCTTCGCCTGTCTCGGCCGGGAGTGAATCGGACTGTTCTCTTTTCTCTCGAGGTGGGAGAAAGCCAGAAGTGTTCGCGAGTGACTCTTCCCGGAGCTCCTGGCCGCGGCTGGAGCCCGTCCCGGGGCCGCGCGCTAACTCCTCCTGGCCTGGCTCGAGTTCACCGCGCTCCGCGCCCTGGGTGGAGGGGAGTGATGTAAGGCTGCCTCCTCAGACCGTGTTCTGCTCCTTCTCTATTTATATCCGCGGCTGCTCTGTCCTTCCTGGGTCCTAACACCAGCCCGTTAAGAGCAACTGGAAGCGCGTCCAGGATCTCAGGCTCCGACGCAGACGGGGCCGCGGGCGTCACAGATGCTTCCAATCAGCACGGCGGAGGCAGCGCCAGTGTCACATACATCAGACAAATGTAAAACAAACCACAAACTCTGCTTAGAGCCAAGTCCCGTTTGCCCACAAGGGCAGGGAAGGAAAATAAACGCACACGCCCTGCCCTCCACGGCAGGGGCTGACCCCGTACCCCTCCTTAACTCTCTCAGAAGTCGGCGAAAGCTACAGGATTATTTACAGAGCAGCTGCACCAGACCCCATAACCGCCCCCTGACCCAGCACCCAGGATAGCGTCTCAATGTGATAGCAAAGAGACCCTCGGCCGGCCGTGCCTCGGTTTACCCTAGAGCAGAGTTTATCCGATCTACCCAAATACAAGTGTCCACACAAACATACACACACCTGTAATCACAACCACGTTTGCTGCGTGATGTGACCGGCACTTACCTGTCTGTGAGCCGCCCAACACGCACCAGCCGTGCTCTCAGGCAAATCGCCGCGTCTCTCTGGGTCGCAAATTCCTCGTCTGCAAAAGGGAGGTCGTGGCTCCCCCCGGGCGGGGTCGCACGCGTGAGCTCCTACAGCAGTGCTTGGAAAACACGTGGCACTCAATAAATGTTATTTTTTATTGAGGAGAACCATCAGTCCATAAATGTTGGCTACGATTATTACAATAAAGTAGAAAATAACACCCAATAAACGCTCGCTGACACCGCCATCCCCGCCGTCCTGACTTTAAATGGGAATTAGGAGCCTCGCATCCGAGCGCTTCCTAAAGAGGAGAAGAAAGCGACTCCCGGTCTCCACGCGCAGGAAGAAAGAGATGATGTCCAAAGGGAGGCGATTATTTTTAACTCGGGCCTGCAGCCGACGGCCGCTCGATGCTCCGACCGCCGGACCCTCCGGCGCAGCTGGGGCGGGAGACAGGTGGTTTCCGTGCGTCCCCTGCTGCCACCTCCAACGCCGGGAGCCGTGACCGTGACCTCGGGCCGGTTGCCTGGGCAGACGTGGCCCGGGCGAGGCTCGTTCCCGACCGTTATCTCCGAGTTCTACCCGCTACCCCGTCCTCCCGCTGCCTCCCTCGGGAGAGGGTGAAGGGAGGGACGGGCCCCAGCCTTAACTGCAGCAGAATTGCACGGATTCCTGAACACACGGGCCCTTCCAGCTCCAGAACTGGGCGAAGCCGACGGTTCTTTTCAATCATAAAACTGTCACCGGATGACGGGCGGCACCCAAGTCGAGGGCGGCCGTGAAAACCGGGTAGAAAGCAAGTTGGGCAGAACCTGCCCCATAGGCGTCTACACACACCCAGATTGACGTTCGATCCCGACCCCAGACTATGGGACGGCACCAGCGCACGCCCTCCTCTCTCTCACCCAGGGGTGCGGAGGAAGAGCCCACCTCCGCCTAGAGCGGGCCCCCAATGCCGTGTCCCCCAGAGAGCGGGGGCTCTGGGAACGGGGTGGTCCCCGGACCAAACAGCTCGGGGTCCCTCTGTGCGTCCCACCCCATCACCCCCTCACGTCGTCCTCAGATGTCACCCTGGCAGCACGCTCCCCGCCCCGACGCCCTCCCCTCCTGCGTTGTTGGCGAAGCCCCCAGTCGCGTGGGGGACACTTCACATCTCGAACCCTTGCTTCGTTTATCGTCAGCCTCTCCCCACGGAGACGCCCACGAGAGCAGAGGAACTTCTCCCGCTCGTTCGCGCTGTAGTCCCGGCCCCCAGAACAGGGCTGGCACGTCGCAGGCATTCAACACGCAACACTCGAACGGGAGGTTGTGAGCGAGGACGGCCTGCTTACTTAAGGGATGGAGACGGTTGTCGTGCTTCGGTGAAATGTGTCAGGCTTCTGTCAAGTAAATGCTAATTAAATGTTAAAAGGGGCTTCACATCCTGATAAGGGTTTACCCGACAAATTTTTACAGGGATGCCAGAGAGTGGGATGGCAGCCAACGATGGGGATGTGACTGGATTATTCACGCAGGTGACGCCTGTGCACACCTGACATGTGTCCCCATGCAGGGGACAGCGTGGGCCTGCAGGGAGAGTCCCGTGAGCAGCCCCAGTGGTGGGGACAGTGGACGGGCCGTGAGCACAAGGAGCTCCTGATGCCTGACCCACCCCAGCCGCCCCTCCCTGAGGCCACAGATCCCCCACAAACCACCACGCCTGCGAGACGCACCCGGCGCTGCGCGGACCCCTCACATGGGCTCTCTGTCAGCGAGCAAATTGGAGCTGGGATCCATAAGCACGGCGCAGGAACTACAGAAACTAACGGGTTAGAAAGCTCTGGGGGTGAATTCGCTGGGGGAGTGACGTGGAGGAGTGAGGGAACTCCTCCTCTTAATGACTAAGGGAAAGAACATTCCGGAAAGGAGCTATGGGATGGGCACGGCATGGATCACAAACATACGTGGTCTCTGCCAGCGCAGCTTCCCTGTGCCCTTCGGAGAACACAGCCTTCGCCAACCTGTGAACGGGAACCGTCAGGGATGGTGGGGGGCACGTGGCGCGTCAGGAACAAGCACGGCACCTCCCTACCACAGACACTGCAATTGGCCCAAGGTGTACATGTGACCGACTCTCAGGACCAATCAGTGTCTTCCCTGGGATTAATAGACTGACCTCGAGAGGGAGAGGACTCCCCTCCCCACTGGAGTTGATGACCCAGAACGATCTTAAATCAAAGCTGTCAGTGCCCATTTTTATAGAAAAGAATTGTCTACAGCAGAAAGTAAAGGGCAAATGTAGAAATTCTGGCATCCTAGCATTGGAGGGGCCAAGAGAGGACCTGAGGATGTCAACTGAGCCTCTGGATCCTGCTGCACCTAAAGCCAAATTCCCCTGACCAGCCCTAGTACTTTCATGTTTGGGCTCAAGCAAGTTTGAGCTTGGTTTCTGGGGTCTTTTATTTTTTTTT